GGAATGAAGAGAAGGACCATTGCCTGGAAGTGGCCAGCAAATGGCCCTCGCCTACTTCACATATTCGGCTTGATGGGCTCTGCCCTGGTCCCACCCCTTTCTGCCAGAGACCCTCAGATCTGTTCCACTCCTGCCCAGACCCCCACAGGCATCCTTGACGCGAATGATGTAGAGCTGGCCATGCCCACCCAGTAGGCTACACCCATTCCATCCATGCCCACCCAGTAGGCCGCACCCACCCAGCCCCCAGAGGGCAACCACAATGCTGATGCGGCCCTCAATGAAATTGAGTGTGACATCCCTGATATACAGGGATGCTTTTAAAATCTTGCTAAAACAGGAATGGTGCTCTATAAATAGGACCAAAGTCTTTCTGATAGCGAAGATGAATCTAGGATTTCTCTAAAAAGTGAGTCTTAATCTTCAAAGAACAAACTTCCTGTCAGTTCTAGGATTAGGGCAAGGTTAGGCAACCTTGGCTCTTTTATGACTTGTGGACTTCAACTCCCAGAATTCCTGAGCCAGCTGTGCTGGCTCAGGAATACTGGGAGTTGAAGTCCATGAGTCATAAAAGAGCCAAGGTTGCCTAACCCTGGATTAGAGGTTCCTTGAAGATATTCCTACTCAGTCCAGCTGCTGAACTGCACCAATCTTTATTCTGCCCAAATAAAGTAAATAAATACAACACGGCAAACACTTAAGAGAGCAGCGAGGTTATCAAAACACTTTGGTTGAGGTCCCCAATAAATGACAAATATAAGAAACTCATTTGGCACGACTGAAGACTCATGCTCAGTTTTCAGACCATTTTGATTCATTTCGGTTTGGGATATTTGCAGTTAATACCCAAGGAAAGGAATGTCAAATTATATTGGAACTGGGTGAGAAGAACAGCCCTTTGGTTTTTAAAAATGCGTACGTGTCCCTTTGTTTTCTGTGGTGGTTTGCCTAGAAGTTCCCTTCTGCAGACACTAAAGTAGAATTATCATAGCTTCATCTTTCTAAATGTGTGGGCTGTTTAATTAGCTTTATGATTAACAGCAACATCTTGATAACCAATTAACGAGACAAACATTTGGAATTTCAGCTAGTTTTCCCAAAGTTGACAACAGATTGCAACCTAGCACTATTTTATAGGCCAGTATTGTGTTGGTGAGAGACATGAAGCTGCTGCCATTTTTATTTAGTCCAGTGCCTTTAATACCTGTCTCTGATACGGATCAACTAGGGTTGGGCATAGAGGTTTTAGGCAACTTCCAAGGAGAAAGGGCTTCTGGTGTTCTAAAGAAGCACACTTTCACTGCTTTCAGCATCACTGGCCAATCCTTCACTGCAGGATATTGATGGAGCGATACCAAAAGGCCCTGGGAGACAACGTGGGAAAACTAGGACAGCAATGGAAGGAGGAGCATTAGACATAAACAACCAAGAGACAAGAGGGCCCATTGAAAGCATATCTCATAAGTAGCCACACCGCACAGGTCACAACAAAACTGGGTAGAAAGTATTCAAAACATTCCAAGAGATTCCACCTAAATGAACATGCCAATACATTCTTCTTGCATTTTCCAAGATCTGCATTTACCCCTAATAGTAGCATTAAAGCCACCTTACTGGACTCTAGGTCAGTGGTGGTGAACCTATGGCACGGGTGCCAGAGATGGCACTCGGAGCCCTCTTTGTGGGCACACATACCATTGCCCCAGCTTTGCCTCCCCCTCTCCAGCAGCACCCCTGAAGGAGAGTCACCCCTGAGCGTGGCCCACGGGGAGCAGCGCAGCCAAGGATATGGCAGCTAGGCAGTGTAGACAAGACTCTGCCCTCACACCCCATTGTGCACAGTTGATGGTGCAGGGCACAGGCAGAGAGCGTGACCACCATAGCTCTGCTGGGCTGCCTGGGTGATCTGCGGCGGGCCCTGGAGGCAGTGAGTGGTCCTGTGGGCAGGCGGTGCAGGAGATGGTGAGGCAGAGTGGGGCAGGGGGATAGAGCAGGGGTGGGGTGGGGCCAGTTTTTGGGCACTTGGTCTCTAAAAGTTTCACTGCTCTAGCTTGTTCTCACCTCCTTGATCTTGACCAGCTGTTTGGACTTGTCAGGCATTCTCACGTTGCTTTTCAAAGCAGACACTAATTTGATGGCTGGTTTTTGAAAGAAAAAATTCTAGAAGCGGCCAATATAATACACACCCATGTCCCCTATTTACACCATAATTCTAACATGAAAGCGTACAACACAAGGATAAATATAGCTCTTCGGAGAGCATTCCATCTGGCCTCGGGGGCTCAAGCAAGGTCCTTCCTGCTCCCCGATGCTCCTCCACCCCAACTTTGCCTCCTCTTTCTCATTAAGAGCCGGCTTGCCCCTACTGGTGCTTGCAAGCTCCAGATTCACATCCCAAACCTTGAATCTTTCCCAAGGATGAAACACATGACAGCAAACATAGTTGCGGGTATCTGCTACTTGTCTGCCATCACTGACTCTCATGACCTTCACTCAGAATTAAGCTTCAGATCTCCATTCCAGCAAAGGAAGAAATGACCAGAAGGCAGAAGAAACAGACCACAGGAACGACAGAGGCTTCCTTTTCTCAAATCCTCTTTCTTTGATGCTATCTGGCCAATAGCAGGCAGTGAGAGGACGTGACTCTAGTTCCAATTGTCCCATGAGCAGATCTCCTTCCATTAACTAACTGCCATAGTTGAGAATGAGTAGACAAATGAATCTTCAGTTCACGCAGATGCTCTGGCTCTGAAACAGTAAAGCTCTATTCAAAGCTACATTCATATTTAGGTTTGTTTTTTGTTTGTTCTCTTTCTCCCAAGACAACATTCCAAGGCAGTGTTTCTCAACCTTGACAATTTTAAGGCATGTGGACTTCAACTCCCAGAATTCCACAGCCAGCATTGCTGGCTGTGGAATTCTGGGAGTTGAAGTCCACATGCCTTAAAATGGTCAAGGTTGAGAAACACTGTTCCAAGGAAACTTTTAATCCTACGGCTCCATTGTTGATCACCATAGCAGCCAATATTTTTGAACTTTTGAACTAGAATTCACCTAAGGATGTATTCCCATCAAATACATCCTTATGCAAAATGCAAAATGCAAAAGCTGTGGAATTCTCCTGTAGGGGTTGCTGAGAAAGAAGCATGCAACTTCCTTTGGCAGGGTTCCTAGTTGCTGCAAGGTCTTCTAAAATAAGCCTGCACCATACATCCCTCTTTCCTCCATGCTTTATAGCCCTAGTAATGTGTGAACAAGAGAGATCAAGAGTGCATATTGCAATCAGACTATAGAGCTGGATGCCTGTGCTGGATCTATTTGGAGACACATCAGCTGATAAAGCACTCACCTTCAATCTGATTATAATGTAATTCTATCTATATTCACTCAGAAGCAAATTCTACTCAGTCCAATAGAAGTGATTAAATATTCATTAAGTGGATATTTATTGGAACCCAGTCTTCAAGTATGTATTTTTGCCCACTGACTACTGCTATTTACTGATATCTTTTGAAGTTCTTAAAGGAAATAAGGTGGTCATACGTCTTGCTCCACAAAACACCTATTTGAAGGGGTTCCTCATTTATGGGAGTCTACTAATTATTTACACGCTACCCACTTCCAAGCTCAAGATGGCTTACAAAAGGAGATCTCTCACACACAGAGGTTTCAGACACAGCACACACAGAGACAATTAGAAATCCACCTAAGCAAGAGACCAACATTGTTCAATGGTCAGTTCTGTTTTAAAAGGCAGCTTAGCATCACTCACAAAATGGCTTTCACAGCTTCCCCCAAAGCTAATAAATTTTTAAAAACTGCCCATCCTAAATCCATCTTAAAGAGGGGGGGGGGAGAAGATGGATGCAGACAAGCTTTGAAATTACCCATCCACAACTGCATGGAAGAATTGCATTGCCACCTGCCCACAGTCTTTCCCCAGTAGGCTGAAAAACCTTTAATTCCTATATAAATTATACTCATTATTTCCAAATGTATATCTCTACCTATAAATTATCTTGTGCGACTCTCTTGCAAACTGTCATTCTCTTTTCTCCGTATTTTGAGCAATGCGTAAGTGGGTCCTAACTCAGGAAATCTGGGCAATGGTTGAATAAAAAAAAAAAAAATACCAGTCCTCATCAACAGCCAAGTCACTGAGTTCTTTCCCAGCCCTTTGCAATTTCCAAACGCTCTGAAAAACGAGCAAATGCATCGGTCATTTGTAGACGCTCTAATTATACTCCTGTGCATTCTTGCAAAGGAATAATCTTCTCCAGACTCGATGGGATTTCCTTTGCCACTCAGCTTTACAGGAGGAAGCTGGGTTCAAACTTTTTATAGAGGAAAAAGCACAAGTTCAATGGCACTCCTTCCTCTTTCTTCAGCTATTCAGTCACTGAAATATCTGGCAATAATGCTAGCCAACCATCTACCACCGAGCACCTCCAGTGAGGCTGAAGTACAGTTTCCATAATCCCTTTCCAATCGAACCCAAGCTTTCCTTTCAAAAAGCATATTACAAGAACTACAGCAGATAGGATGGAGAGGATCCTGAGTCCTTACTTTTGCATCTCTCCCTCTTTGTCTGCCTGCCTCCCTCTCCCTCCCTCTCTCTCTCTCTCTCTCTCTCTCTCTCTCTCTCTCTCTCTCTGCATTCTACATAAATCCTGAACCCTCGACCAGCCAGAACCTTGCCCCCAAAGCTGTTAATACCTCCCTTCTCCATCTTTTCTCTGATAACTGCTTCATTCAGCGCCCAACCAAAGATTGCTGGCAGGTGAAGAGTTAAAAGGCCTCACCTGTTGTGGGACAAACTATCCTAACAGGCATCCAGGACCTCCCAAGGTTTAATGGACTGAAAATGGGAGAAATGACCCTCCAGCTTTCTCTTTTTCTTTGCTGAGGCACGTCTCCTGAGTCCTTCTCAGCAGTTCAGGGCTGGTTCAGAGAAAACACCTGCTGCGATGCCTGGATCCCCAACCCTCTTCCCCACATACCTCTTGGCCGAGGTCTCCAATGCTATATCGCCTTTCTCCTCCAGCAAGGTGCCATTCTGCGAATGCCCTGGATCGGCTCCGTTGTGCTGCGTTCCTTCTCTTGGGCTGCTCTCCAGTCCCCGCGGAACTGCCGGGCTTTTCGTGGCAGGAGTTGCTATCAAGCTGCACACCTGACAGGTTTCCACCCCATGCAGCCTGTTGCAGTCTTGGAATTCCTTGCACGCTGACAACAGAGAAGCCGGTCTGGCTGGTTTCTGGTAACGTCCCTCTGTTTTCTCTAATTCAGCAACCCCCAGAGAAAGTGCTGCCTTCCCAAATGAATGGCATGGTGAGCTTTGCTTACCATAGCCGGCTGTGGGCTTGGCTTCCACAATTTCTTCTTCTGACTTAGTCATTGTGATCATAATCTCGTAGCGAATTATTGAAGCATTCTTGGTTGAGGTGGTTTTTGCATCCTCTGCTACTCCTGGAGGCCACTGGACATGTGGGCCTGCCATAACACTCCTAAGTCTTGTTCCTTTGCCAAAATGACTAGATTTTCTGGGCCCAGCGTGGTGACTTAGGTTTTCCGAATGCCCCACAATAGAAATCAGGGAAGTTTCTGAAGTTAAATGATCTTCTAATATATTTTCAATCAAATCAGAGAGAGACTTGGGAGCTGCACTGATTTCCCCCAGGTCTTCTGCTTCTGTTTTGGACAATGTTGGATACTCCAGAGAAGAACCGTTAATGGAGAAGGACCTATCTATCCAGCAATGCAGAGCATCTAAGGATGTGGATGGGACCAAGTCTGACCACACAGAATCCATTTCACCTGGTTGAGATGAGAGTTTCTCCTTCTCAGGCTCTTGGGGTTGAGGGCAGAGGTCAGGTCTAGTCTTCGTATCCACACAGCTGCCAACAGCAGGTCTCTGAAGCTGTCCCAAAGACCAGGGATCACATGCTCCATTATCAACACAACTGGAGAGCTCAAGACGGCTACTGCGGCCCTTGTGCCAAGTAAAATTTCTGAACTTGTTGAAGAGGCTGTTCTTCCAGAGATTGGGCTCCAAGGAACTAAGGGAATGGGCCTGTAGAATAGAAGGGAGAATGTTGAGAAGGGAAGTGCAATTCGAACACTTCCAAGGCCTGTTTCTGGGTCAGATGAGTAGGATCATATAGGCAAGATGGAGATTTAATGAGCAGAAGGAATAACCTTGAGGCACAGAAGGAAAAGCCACAGCCAATACAGATAAACCTGAGTCTGGGACAGAAGTGTAACCCAACTAGCATCTCAGACAAAACCCTCCCTAGTTCTCATAAAGATAAGTTGGGGGAGGGGAGAGAAGCTTTTTGAGACTTGCAAGATTCTGCCACTATAACTTTACATTAATAATAGTATTGGCTAGCATGGCTTTGGTTTCCTAATTTGATCTGCTTGAAGGGCTGACAGGTGGTCACAGCCATGTACTCGAAGGCCTATCCTTTTTTATATGTGTCACGTTCTTCTGGGAAATTGTGGCAGGTGTGAATAGAGGAGCTGAGTAACAAGAAAATCATTTGAGTGGACCTGGACCACATCCTACCCATCCAGTGGTGTGCTAGAGCTGGTTCATACCACCACCTTGTGAGAAATTTTCAGGAATTTTGCAAGTTGGTTGAGAGCAGAGCTGAGCCATGACACAAAGCACACTGATTAGCTGTTTGGTGGCTCATGCCGCAATGGAGCCAGATGTTATACAGGTAGGCCTCCTTTACAATGGCCTTGTTTAGTGACTATTTGCAGTTATAACAATGATTTAAAAAAATAACTTTGTGACCAACCCTCATATTTATGACCTTCGCAGATCTGTTAAGCAAAGGAGATCTGAATTAAGATTATAAGCACAGTCACAATTTCATTTAGTGGCTGCTTCACTTAATGATCGGGTTGCCAGTCCCAATTGTCATCACTAAGTGAGGACTACCTATACATTTATCAGCACATCACTGCACCCAGCAATTGAATGGATTGGGACAACTCGCCACAGCCAACTCACCAGGGCCAATTCACCAGGGCCAATTCATCACAGTCAATTCACCAAGGACAACTCACCACAGGACAACTTAGCATGGCCAACGTGCCCCAAGACAACTTGCTGCAGGACAATTTAACAATTCAATTCAATTATTTAAAATAATTTAAAAATTATTTTAATTTTTGTCATTTACATTTCATTTTGTCCTTCCTTTGGCATCCTTTGTTTAATGATTCTCTTCCGCCATTTCTTTGATATTAGTGTAACTCTTGTCCCGTGACGAGTTGGCTACAGCAAGCTGGCGGTGGCACGTTGGCTGTGGTGTGTTGTCATAAACCCACAATGAAATTCGCAGGTCACTAACATCCCTCAGCCTAACCGTCCTCATAAGGTTACTAGGAAGTTAACACATTTAATAAATATGATATAATAAATACAATAAAATAATTCCAGTGAGCCTCTGAGATAGGTATGTATAAACAAACAAACTATTAAGATGGATGAAGTGAGTTACCCATGCTCTTCGAGGCTACACAACCCACACTAAGTCAGGGTTGGTTGAATCAAAATTTCTTTCACAAACTATAATTTTCTAGGCTTACCCAATGAGGTAACCTAAACTTGGCAGTTCTCAAACTACTTCTCCTCACTGAAAGATACGCACCCCTACAAGCACCCATTCACTTTTCATTCTCTTCCTCCCTAAAGTTTAGAAATAAAAGTGTGGCTTAGCTGGACTTGGCAAACCTAAAAATGATTTTATAAGATTTTATAGATTGTTGTATTTTTTTACATTAGTTTGTAAACTGCCCCAGTTTTTATTTCATTTCTATGTTTGTTTGTTGAATTTATTTGCTACCCATCTTGTAATGAAACAACTCTGAGCGGATGTCAATTAAACCATAAACAAATTATAAAATAGGTCGAGTGGGCATAGAAAATTAGGGAACACAGAAAAAGAGGTCAAGCCCCCATTCTGTGCCCAGGAACCCCACCTGCCTTCCTATTTAAGTTACATTCCAGTCATAAGGACTAACAGCTTAGCTTCTGGGCCTTAACGCTAAAGTCAAAATTGTCGGGAATTAAAGTTCTATGGCCCTGAAAACTCCAATTATATAAAAATGTTCCTGGGGCAGGCCGGCTATTGTGCAGCTGAATTTATCTTATGTATAGCAGCCCCAATTTGATTCTGCTTCCTTTTATATAATCTTCCTTGACCCCTTTGCCAGGCCAGGAAGTGGGTGATTCCTTCTGCAGGAGATGAAGCATGTCTGGATAGCAGTCATGCCTACCCTGAGGGCCAACTCCAGTGACTGAAAAACAGCTCAGGGACACCCTACCCAGAGAAGCTGCTGAGGTAGCAGGAAACTATTAGATAATAAGTATCCTCTTGTTCCAATTCCATACACACCTTTGGAGAGAGCAGCTGCCACACATACCTGTATTTGCCCCAGGTGAGCCAACTGCCTCCCAAACACAGCAGGGACTGGAATAGGAGCCCTTGGCCATACCATCGTGCTGGGGGGGTCTCTCTTACCCACTGCAGAAAGAGCAGGTGGGATTTTGCTCATGGCGCATGTCAATGCATTGTAGTATCACTTTGGGTGCCAGTCAGACAGCTGGCAGGGGCAGAGGGGAGAAAATCCAGCAGCAAATCTGTCTATTAAGAAGCAAGCAGATGCGGTCCCAAAGCCTCTCTCACTAGCTCGCTCCTTCATTTCTCCGCTTCTGTTTTTCTCTGGGTTGGGGAAGAGAAAGCAATGGCAGGACTGGAGGGTCCAGAATGGATGCTGAGTCCTCCCAGGTAACATGCTTGGTCAATTTTTTTACTTCTTTTTATTTTCAATACTTCAAATTTTTTAAATGATAGGACGATAATATTTTTTTTAATATTATATAAACTTGACTGCATTGATAGTGCATTGAAAATACTACATTTACAACCAGTTGCTGAGTCCCATCGTCATGTAACCACAATTTAAGGCGTCTTTTTGCCAGTTTCTGGATTCAGTGGATTCAGATTTATGACCCTAAGATTTGTTTAACGATCACTATAAAAAATGGTTGAAAAATCAGGCCTGGTTACAAGGTGCTTCGACTTACGACCATCATGATTTTCAGTGGTTTTTGCCAGTTTCCTACATTTGTATCCATTCAACACACTTAACCAGAATGCTTACAATCCTAACAGCTATATTCACACCTGCTACTTTTAACCTGATTTAACTTTTTTGTGTATGACTGTGTTGGGTGAATCCAGGTTTATCGCTCAAAGTATTGCGCAATCTCAGAAACACAAGTGGAAGAGATTTGCAGGGAAAAAAAGGAAATTGGAAAAGGGAATCTGGACAAGGATGATGTTGGGAGCAAGGAACTACCCTCTTGGTTTGAACAGCCAATAATATGTTTGGCAACAAATCTCATTGGATATAGCATATGGTGTAAAATAACCGTGGGAAATTGCCTGGAGCCAACCTTCTGTAGCCTACATCCTTTCAAAAATATGTTGGACTTCACTTTCCATAATCATGAAGGCCTTGCTGGCATAGAGCCCAGTTCTTCTGGAGGCACTGTAGCCAAACAGATATGGAGTACAATATAATGATCTATCACAGTGGTTCTTAACCTGGGCGATATTGACCCCCAGGGGGCAATTTCATTTTTCAGGGGGGCGAAGGAACAAAAAGGGGGTGATATGGGGGCGATGGAGCGAGAAGTTTTGGGGACACTTTTGAGACTTTTTCATATAGTGAATCGCTGCATATCTGTCGCACAAAAACATCAGATCACTCGCTATTAGTGGATTGAATTGTGTTTTCAAATGTTCCTCCAGCTAGCTTCAATACAGAACGCCGTACATATGTGAATACGCATGGCTTATCTTCATGCGCGTTGCGCAGCAGCCTCTACCCTTTTTATATTTCTTTTTGCGTCTTAAATTTCACTTGTAATTCGATCATTAAATGTTACTGTTTTTCTTTTCGGGCATTTCACTTTTTTGCAACTGAATTTTGTTTTCAGTGGTCATTACATTTAAGTGTCTTGAATCAATAAGATAATAATGAAATACATGTATCACGAAGTTTGGGAACAAAGTGATGGGTGGCACCAAAATTTTTCACACAGTTGAGATATGGGGAAAAGGCTGGAAATAAATTATTTGCATCGATATGTCCTGATGACAATTTTAAAGAAAAGAAAACAAGTGTTTGCATAAATTGAAGAATTATTTCCTATGTTGTGATTGAGA